CATCATGATCAGGCTGTAGCTCAGCTGTACTGAGTCTGAGAGAGAGTCCAGTCTTGACATGTCTTGAGTCTGAGGCCTACTTGTACTTGTTTTCTTTATTTTCAGTTTATGGATCTTAGTCGTTCACGATCGCCGGGCATGCCGGGTGTAACCATGGATGGAGGAAAACACGGTCGGCAACAAAGACGTTATGTTGTTGAGGAAGCAGATGCATTTAACACGACAGTAGAGGAGGCATTTTGGCCACCATGGCCGCCAGGATCAATCAACTCTCCACTGGTTAATGAACAGGTATGCATGCTGCAGGTACTGACTCGCGTGCCCATCTCTCAAGTCTCATTCTATATCAAAATTGCATTTGTCATATACCCCCATTAGGCAGAATCACATTCACAGAAGTGCGTGTCATCTGGTCATTGGTTTGGGAAAGACAAGTTTTTAGACTAGTCATGAAAGTTATTGTGGGAAGAGTTCCATATAGGGTAAGTGTGGGAATTTTCGATCTGGAGGAGAATTCGACCAACTGCATTCAAAACTACACAGCTGGTTGAATTTCTTGCTTTTCTTATGGGGACGAATACCCCTACCTTTATCCTATGCCTAATTTGTACGTACGGATGTCACTAATTTTCCCTTCAGTCTGGCGGTGGTATTAGAAAAGGATAATATCTGAAAAAGTCAGATTTAGCAGGGAAAATATTGTAGGCCTGTCATTTATTTAATGTTAACAAATTGCCTGCCTTTTATTTCTGACCAGTCATAGGGTTTTTGCACAGGGTGTCAAGTGATGTTTATGTGTGGAACTCTTTCCTATGTTAATACCAGGATTGGAGGCCATGCATTTTCAGGGTGCCTAGCCTTTTACTTTAGCATGTTTAATGTGTAGGCATAAGGGACAGAGAGTGCGGAGAGTGGATTGATAAGGGTAGGACATTTAAACATTTTAAATGAAAAAAAGTTCCAAATCCATTTACAGATTTTCCCAAACATTTAAACAGAACCGCCCCTTTTAGAGGTTTGATGTTTTGATTGACGCAATCTGGCATTCGTTTTCATTGTGAATGATGCCTGTAAAATATAATCTGATTTTCAAAACACTTTACTGCTCAGTCACATCAAAGGAATATCATGAGTTCATCATTGAACTTTGTGTCAGCCATTTACATTGTATACAATTTGTTGTGTTTACACCGTGGTAAAGGTAGGACGTTTAAACATTTAAACGATATGGAAAAGTTTTCTAAGCGTTTTTCAAATTAGATGTACGTGTAAACACCAACCGTTATTTGTTTAAAATGCACATCAGTGAAATGCAGTGAAGGGATTAGGATACAGAACCGAACATAATGTGTAGAATACACACAGTAGGGAAAGCCAGTAGAATAGATGTTTGGTTTACGTTACACCGTCTGCTTAGACCCACCAGACCAGATTTTCCTGAGCAGTCATGCTTTGTACATATTATATTTATTTTGCTTTGGTTTCAGTGTACTTTTCAGACAAGTTTTATCGAATCCATTGTCCCATTAATTTGTATACAGACATTGAAATGGTTTTACTTTTGTGGAAAACCATGAACACTTACGTGTAAATGTACATCACCCACAGCAGGGAAGTTACCTTCATAGTGTGGATTTGCATGTGGTACTTGTTTACATTTGAATCTCACTACTCCAACTGTCTCTCCCTTAGGAATGAATTTAAAAAAATGGATCAAGATGTGCTTGTTGGACAAACGATTTATCCATACTCTGCTGCATATCACAGTTTCTTATCATTTATCACTCCTAAACCAATTTATCATAAGTGCTATTTTCTTTTTGTTTTTGTAGCAGGAAAATTCTGTCCCAGATGAAGTGGAATCGGGTCGACGGTCCTCCTTTGGCATGTCGGTATTCAACTTGATGAATGCCATCTTGGGTAGCGGTATCCTGGGACTATCCTTTGCCATGGCTAAAAGTGGCATCGCTCTCTTCACGTGAGACCACTATTCTGCCCTTGTGAAATTACTCAGAAAATGACCTAGTTCCTGAAAAAAGAAAGAGACTTAACCTCCGTAGGGGAGGAGTAATGTTTGTGCTGTTGGTAGTTTTGATGTCAATCCGTTATTGTGTTTTACAATATGCATATTTTACACTGAGCTGGGATACTTCCATTTTTTTTCCAAAGTCAAACACAGCTCAGTCCGTGATTCTTCATGTTCAGAGTTGACCCTTCAGTTTCTGAGAGGAAATAGAAACAAAAAAAATTACTTGTTCCCTAAAATTTGGTCCAAAGATATGGTTATTTGCCTCTGCTGGGTATCAACTCTAAGAATTATATTAGCATCAACTGCTACAGAGAGTTGATTCCGCGCAATTGTGGCATTAAAATTCCAATGCTAACTTTGAGATGGATTCTAGATTTTGTTTTACTCCAATGAAACGCCAGTGCATATCCACCAAAGTCTATTGTACTCTTAGACATGAAAGCTAAAATTTGAGTCATTCATGGTTCTGTGTGGATACCTCCGAAAGTGAATTACAGTAGACAGGACAGAATTGTACATATTTTAACTCAAACAGATTGCCTATTGCTTGTGTCACAGATTATTATTAGTAACAGTGGCTGTACTGGCTGACTTCTCCATTCATCTCCTCCTCAAGATGTGCGTCTTAACTGGTGTCAAATCTTATGAAGAAGTTGGCCTGTTTGCTTTCAATGTCCCTGGCAAGGTAGGGGTTGCACCGTAGCTGTTGTCTGAGGCTGTGTCCAAACTGCTGTGTCCAAGCTGGCTGCAGCATGGAATTACACATAACTCTATGGAAAGTGGCTGCAGTCACACCCAATAGACTCTTGTAATTTGAAGCCACAGCCAGTGATATTAGACACGGCCTACATTTTTCAGCTATCTTTCCTACATCAGCTTTTAGAGTGAAAAAAATTTTACATGCTTTTCTTCCAGAAAAGTTCATCTTAGATCTTAAACTCAGGTCAGGTTAATATAGAAACATTGAAGTTTGCTGCTGATATTGAATGATAAATGTACGTGCATCTCTCTACATACTAATGTGACAAACTTGACAGTGTACATGTACATCTGCTACAATTCATATCCCAAGTTTGATGCTTGGATTTAATAATCTTGTACCAAGGAAACCGCAAACATTTTTTTCATTCATGGGTGATTCAAGTGTGTTTTCAAAAATAATTATGGGGCCATTTTGAATCTCACATGAAATAATGAAGGTTTCTGTTGCTTCTGCTAGTCAAGGAATCTGCCATTGTAACATTGCCCTATGGGAGTTAAAAATAAGTAAAATGGTTGCCAATCAAGGGTTTGCATCACACCTGCGCTCAGTGAAATCTGTTTTACAGAAGGACTGAGGTTATTTAAGTGATTCTTTGTGAAGAAGTATTGTTTGAGGTATGTCCAACTTGTCTTCTACATTTTAGAGTCGAAGCATTTCATCAACAAGCAGTTTCATTTTTGTGCTTTTTTTTGCATTCTCCTTCAGATAATGGCTGCCGGTGCAATTCTCCTTCAAAATATAGGATGTAAGTTTCACTGTGTGTCACAGTCAGGGATTGTTTTAGTGATACATTTAATTTGGTTTTTTTTTGGGGGGGGAGTGACCTTTACCTGAAGTGAATGACATTTTCAGCCACAGTTTTACTGTTCAGTACAGTAGTCCCAGAGTTGTCTGAAATTTCACCCAAATTTTCAAGCTGTGAAACTGCTCTTTTAATGAAGTGTTCTTATTCTTTTCTGGTGTAATTTTCTAATGTTTTTATTGTTTTTTTAATGTAACTAAACACTTTTTTAGAATATGACAGAAACTAGTTAAAAACAAAATCAAACATCGGAGTATGCTTTCTGGACAAATATTATTCTGTAGTATTTGTAGTTGATTGACATGTTATTGATGGAATATTTGAAGATTTTAATTTTGTTTTCTTATTTTTTTGTCCACCAGCTATGTCAAGTTACTTATTCATAGTCAAAGATGAATTGCCCAAAATCCTGAGTTCATTCCTACATATCACAGAAGATAAAAAGTAGGTATTAATTTGTCATTGTAATGAGAAATAAATTTTTAGCTTCTAACCTAGAAGTGCAGGAAAAAAGGTCTATACGGTCCAGGTCCTTTAGTGACCTTGCCGGAACTGGATCGTGTGACCTTGCATCAGGTCAGTTTATTCTATATCATACATGTGCATACTAGAAATCAAGATAGCCAATGAACCTTGTAATTATTGTGTGTTGATTCCACTGTTGACCCCTAGATGAAATCAGATATGACCCATTGGTTTGCACTACAGGTGTTTACCGAGTGACCCTCTGAGGTCAAGGACCTTCTGTACCCCCTCTGTGAAGTTGGCCAAAAGAGAAAAGACCTTATTACCTTTAACCCTTACTACATGGACCTTCCAGCATTGTCCAAAAAACATCATTTGTGCAAGGTCCCGACTGCTCATTATTTGATCTTCGAATTGAATTTCAAAAGACATCAAGCCACACGTAAGACGCATGTACACAGCCTATAACATGCACATAATGCATATTCCAACAGAAACTGATCCCGTGTGCTCTGTGCGTATCACAACAAATGCACATAAACCTGTGGATGCACATGATGCGTTCCCACCAAAGGACCATCTTTGCTAAGTTCAAGAATTCCATCTGTTGTTTTGACATGGAGCAGATACAGGCTTGATTACTTCACTTCTTCTTCCAAGGGCTGTTTTCCATTATGCTTTAACCTAGTGTTTGACTGTTGACAGAAATCTATCACTTCAATTTCTGCAGTCTGTGGTTCTTGAACGGCACCTATCTTGTCTTGATGGTCGTGTTGATAGTTATCCTGCCGTTGGCCTGCCTACCCAAGATTGGTTTTCTGGGCTATACTAGTGGTCTCTCCATATTGTGCATGGTTTTCTTCACTGTCGTGGTAAGTTGAACTATCAAGTTTGAAAAATGTCTGGTTGAAATATTTGAAAAGAAATGTTATTAGCACTTGTACTGCCAACTCTAAATTCCCATCCAAACCCTACAAAACCTTTTGGTTTTTGTCACTTGAAGGATTTTTCTGGGGATGAAATTGCAGTGCGGTGTCCCAGTGTACAGACAAGGAGGATACATATATTGTGGCATGCAGTTGGCACTGTCCAACCACGTGGCCTAGGTTTAAAATGAACAAACTGTGAAGGGTTTTGAAGAGGAAACTCAAGGAATGATTTCCAAAGGTTTTGTAGGTGCTTGCAAATTCTACAGGAAAATATGCTGTGGCAGATCTTGAAGCACTTTCAAGACTAGGACTGTCAACAATGGGTCGAGGGTCTAGAATATGTCAAGAAAGGTAGACTTGTAATCAAGTCCCCTTTGAGTTTTACTCTCTCTCTCTCTCTCAGTGAGTCTCAGTATTCAGTGGTGGTGCCAAGTCTGTGGTCACACCATATATTACTTGGGTAAAGTCACCAATAAGGAGTCGCCTTCTACAGCACAGCTAGAGAATTAGAAATACTATATTATTACTACTTCTTAAGTCACATTTCTGTCGTGGAAGGGGTCTCCCCTGCCAAACTGGAAAATCTTTTTAAAAAGGCAAAAGGAAAAAAAACATGAAAAAAGAATGAAAATACCTCAGAATGGACCCCTTCCGCAGTTGATGGTTTTTCATTTTGTAGGTGACAAGGGTTTTGGCCTCCCCCACCCCCTGAAAAGAACTTTTGCCCCAACTATAACAAGTTTCTTGTCTGAGGACACTTGTACCTCAACAAAACAGGTTGGATTTAAACCCTGAACCTCTAAAAATGTACCCGAAATTATGCATTTTTTAAAAGAAAAGTTCCTGATTGTTGTTTTCACCCAGATTGTCATCAAGTGGTTTTCCTTTCCTTGCCCAATACCGGGCATTAATTGGACTAATATGACAAATTCAGAGGGGAGCCAGACAACAGCAACTTATCACTTGTCTTATAGTACAAGTTCTCCTATTGGATACGAAATGGGAAAAGATGTGGAATCAACCAATGGCAGCACCTCGTTGGAGTGTGAGCCAACCTATTTTTCCCTGACAACAGATGTAAGTAAATTTTACAACGTTATACTTCCCACTGCGAGACAGGTTGAAGTTGCCTGTACTAAGATTTAATATTAAAAGCAAAAGTTTGCCGGTAGCACGTGTAATTGTTTTTTATTAGTGAAATACCTAAGGTGTTTTTTTCAGAGGTAGCATTGGGGGACAATGTTGTGCCCTAAAAACAAACAAAAAGTTTTTCCAAGCAGTCGACAAAAGAAATAGGAATTAAAGGTTCAGGATTGTTCAGCCCTGCCATTGTTACTTCATATGGGATGTCATATCCCAGTTTGGTTGAAGTACAAGTAGCATGCCATTGGTTAATAGCACGCTGTAGTGTTTGGAAAGATCAGGAAATGTTAATGTCTTCGTTCCTCTTGTTTATAATTCTTGCCGTATGTTCTACTGGTACTAGATATTTTTTTTAGCTTAAAAACAGTAAATTTCCAATTCATGGTCACAGAGTAACTTTCTGAAGCACATCAAAAGGATTGTTGTGCGACTGCTTTTACTGGTAAAATAGCACAAGGATCACTGATTTATTAACATGTAACTCCAACTTAAAGTTGCATTTTAAATTTTTCAAAACCTGTACTTTGCTAAGGAATAATGCTACATGTATTTTATTATTTGAATGTGTCAAAGTGTGATTTCCTTAATGCAGACTTGCACAGATGTCATAAACAAAATCATTATCTTTCCAAGTACACGTAATGAGACATGTTAAAATCAATTGATGTCTATTATTTTCAGACGGCATACGCCCTGCCCACCATGGCCTTTTCATTTGTCTGTCACACTGCAGTGCTTCCAGTTTACTGTGAGCTTGCCAAGTAAGTCTGAAGTTTCAATCTCTGTCGATGGAACCATGACTGCAGTGTATCAAGTTCACAACATTCAGTTGTCATTATCAGAATTGTTGTCAGGAAATTATTTTGAAAGAGCTTTATTATTGAGTTTCTGGCTGATCGTCACAGAGTGCGATTTTTTGCTCTGAATATGATTAATGTGCTTGCACTTACTACGTGGCAAAGGCTTGTGTCCAGTTTTCTCATGAATTTGGGTCTCCTGACTGCTGTTTGGAAATTGGAGGACAGTGCAGTGTCTTCCTAAAGCTTCTCATCTTTAGTTTGATCTAAAAAATCCATCATTATCAGAATAACCAATAAATTGTAAACATTAACAGTAAAATGTTTAATTTTGTATAGACTTCTGTTAACCACATCAGCCAGGTATTTGTAAATTGTTGCTTGCTTGTTGTGATTTGATTGTTTCTGCGTACTTTTTTCTCAGACCCAGCAAGAGCCGCATGCAGAACGTAGCCAACTCTTCAATCTTCATCTCATTTACACTCTACATGATCTCAGCACTCTTTGGCTATCTGACATTTTATGGTAATCTTCATAACCTTTTTTTGGGTTCATTCAAACTGTTCATTGCTAACATTGTTCTACGTTCACGTTTTTCAATATTAACCCCTGGATAGGAATTTTTTTCCCTGTATCTTGATGTTGACAATGATTGATTAGTAACGTGTAGTTGGTATTGTAGTTTGTTAATTCCAACATGTATCTTGTGTTTTAACACTTGCCCTCATGCCTCTTTATTGTCCTTCATTTTCCTATTTCGTTCATGTTCCTATGAAATGTTAAATTTGAAATTGGCTGCATAAGATTTTTAGATATTGCTGTTAAACATTATGTTTTTGGATGTGTTACACCATGCAGAATTGACCCTGCTAGTGTTTGTAACACAGCCAGGTACCAGGCTATTCCTAATTAACATATCTGTGCAACATTTTTGAACATTCGTATGACCCTGTTCCAGGGATTAAGAGCAGTTAGCATGGTAGGCATGCTTAACACCATGGGAATGAGGTTGTCTTGTTGCATATTCATGATCTATCACTGTTCAGGACTTAAATTGACTCCATGAACTTGGGCTCTGCTTGCAAACCTGACCCTGACAGCCCTGCCCGTTGACTTCAGTTCATGACATGCTTAAGTGATTCATCTAGTGTTTATTTTTCTTGCAGGCAATGTGAGTGACGAGCTACTCGATGGGTATGAGTTATACAACCCACTGGACCCACTTATTTTGAGTGTTCGTCTGGCCGTGTGCCTAGCCATAATCTTCACTATTCCACTTATACACTACCCAGTGAGTTACCTTATTATATACATTTTGACCAGAAAATTGTGAATTTTGAGAAGACTTTTCAGTCACTTTTTGATATGTTTTATGACTTTGGACCAAAAGATAAATATAGGATTAACATAATCACAGAGAAATCACAACTTGTTAGACTGAATTGAAGCCATGTTTTGTTTTCATAATTACAACCGAACTGCTGGAAGTTTCATTGATTTTTCTCTCCAAATCTCATCCCTCTGTCTGGTTCATTTGTTGGTTGTGATTCTTCTCAGTGCAAAAGTAGCATTTATGATCTTAGTGTCTGTGTCCAATCGGAAAAAGCTTATCGTTTTACCAAGCAACTGTCACAATCCGAGTGACACACACTGCATGCTCGCACTTGTTTTCACAAGTCTGCTACAGAATACACGCCAGTCATTTCACAGATTTGTAGCATCGTCAGCGGATATTGGAGTATTTGCTCAGAGTTCCTATTTGTTGCAGATGAAGGAGTTGTCATACACCATTTGTATTTTAATCTCTAGGCCCGCAAAGCCCTCTTAATGATCTTCAATACCTGGGTGCCACTCAGGGATGCATCGTTTCCATGGCTACGCCATTTTGTGTCCACTGCTCTTCTCATCACCTTGGTGACGTGTATAGCAATCTATGTACCTGACATCAAGCAGATCTTTGGCATCGTTGGTCAGTGGCAATATCTCCTGGTGCAATTTATCCCGTTAACGTTTTGCCCTAAGATTTAGGGTTCTTGTTCCAGTTTTTATTCGGCATAAATGATATGGACAGGACTCAGTTTTTGGTTGATTCCTAACAGTTTGTTGCAAGAGTTCCTTGGGATTAGGAGAAGTAACAAAGTAGTTTTTAACTGAAGAAACTGAACATTTTTTGGTTTACGAGTTAGTCTATTTGCCAGGAAATAAATGACAGTTTTGAGGGTTTTGAAGCTTGAAAAGTTACAGTTACAAAACATAGGCTTTATAAATGCTTGTGTCATTAAAACTGTGGTCCAGTAGTTGCTTAATGTTTTAAATACAGGTTTTGCCCTTATATAAAGGGCCAAACCTGTAATTAAAATTAACGTCTTCCTGACGCAAAAGTACATCTTGAAATTTCTTAATGTTATCTTTTTTTCCCACTTGTAGGTGCCACTGCCTCTACTAGTCTTGTCTTCATTCTACCCTCCCTCTTCTACTTGCGTCTCGGCACAGAACGACTAAATTCTTTACAGAAAATAGCAGTAAGTATTGCAGTTCAAAAGAAATGCTTGAAATGCTGACTTTGTTGATGGTCTGATCAATACTTATCGTTAAGAGGGCATTAACTTTTTCCGGTTGCATGTTTTGATGTGTTCAGAATGTTGTAGATTGTGTCTCAGAACTTGGAACGTTTGATGTTTCAATCATGGATTTAGATCGAACACCCATTGTTTTAATGGGGATCATGTAACGTGCCCACTGGACCTATCTCTTTTGTATCTAATTGGGAATGCTTTCAATGTTTTTAAAGCAAAACTTGGAGTAGATAGAAAAATGTGTAAAAAGAGTTGTGAATTGAAAGTACACCATTTGTGGTAGATATAGTTTGTTTGCGCTTTCAATCAGATTTGTCTGATAAGCTCTGGTTCTGTCATTCTGCAGTGTTTGGCTCTGCTGGTAATTGGTGCAGCTACTCTGGTAACTAGTCTGGTCTCTATCATCTACCGCATCGTCACAAAGGCATCATGATGTGAACAGGTCAAGCATAGATCCAGGGAACTATACTGACAATCAGTCTTGCAACCATTTCGTGTGTTATCATAAAGGAATGATGCAGTGTGAAAGGAACCAAGTGAGATGGAAAGAACTACCCTGGAAATTTATCTAGTCACCATCGTCTTATGCATTACCATGAAGAAATTGTACCAATTAACCACTTAATACTCACTTCCCCAAATCTCTCTAAATGCCAAGGTTGGTTCCAACAGTTTTGAAGTGTGTTGCTTGATAGACCAACCTTTATTACTTTACCAAGGCACTTTATATCCTTATTTCCTTTTTACAAAGTTCAAAGAATTGGCTGTTCTTACTGTAAGTTCACTCAGGGACTTCTCATGCCAGTATCAATATGAAGCATGGTGTGACAGGTTTATAAAAATGCTTCGTTGGTAACAAAAGTGTTTTGCTAGAATGCTGCAAGCCAAGTAGCATTACAGCTTCGGTTGTTGTTTGTTGTAGTTCCATTATATTACTATCATTCGCTGTAACTATTTCTCACAGACAAGGTATTTTTGTTCTGTTGTGTACTTGGACTTTTTTTTTTGAGTTATTTATTTTGTAACTGTTCGATTTCAGTCCCATGTGTGAATTTGTTTCTTGAAATGCATTGTAAAATGTGTGCTTTCCTGCTACCCGGAAATTTTCTTTGTGCCAAAGATAATTGTGCATTAGATTTGTTTAAATTTCTTGTAAATTTCAAACAATATTATTTGTACACACTATGTATTTCCTAGTTCTTTGGGTATTTTCTTAAAGGGTAATATTATAGGGTATCATTTCAAATATAAATCTTTCTTCTAAAAAGGTTTCATACAGGTTTGTTATATTTTCGTTCAATGAAATTTTTCTCATGTTATTTTTGTTCAAGTTTTTCATATTTCTAATGAACTATATTGCTTTTTCAAAGGTATGCTGGTAGTTTCTGTTATGTGAAGGTAGAACGTGTGGATGAAGGTTTTGTGTCCCTAAGCAAGGTGCTTTGCTTCACTTGCCTGTCTTACCCCATCAGAGTAGAAGCGGTCATTGTCGTGGCTTCCTCATGGACATAGTGAACAGTCAACCTGTTATTGCCTTTGTGACTTTCAACATTAACTTAACTTTAATATTTAGTTAGGCTACATTCGTCATTTATGCTCGTTTAAGATATGAACCCAGCAGACTCCATTGATGGTAGGATAATGCTGTCTCATAATCCGAGCAATGTTAAGGAGCTTCTAGGGCCTTGTGTTCCCCTGGCCCCGTATATGAGCATTATGTCAGGTCACCAGTCTAGCTTCCGGCCAAAAGCATTGCATATTAAAGTTGTCTGGAGGTGCAAATGTAGTTTCTCAGGATTATAGATAATTTGGGGTCATTCTGTACAGTTTGGGTCCAAAGTGTGACATTTTGTGTACCTCTAAACCTGACCTGTGTAATTTGAAACGGAAATACTGAAATTCACTATATTTTATTTGTTTTGAATGTAATTTACATTATTACTTCATCACTGTTTGAAAACCATGTCAGTTGTGGGAGGGACATGAAAGTTGACCCGTATTTGTAGAGTAACCCTTATGAATGGATACTGACCAGGGTAAGTCAAAGCCTTTTTTATTGTGGACCTCACCAGTAAGTTTTCTGGTTGTTAGTCAAAGGTTGTGTTGTCGCAATACGTAATTGTTTTAGCAAGAACTTACATCATTAGTTCTGTTCATGCATGGCTGGGACATCAGAAACACCTCTGACACTCGTGGTAAGTTGAAACAATTGTGAGCCTCTTTGTGGTGTAAGCAGTGAATTGTATATGGGAACAGAGCTTATAATGTGATGGGTCATTACGACAGTTTTTGATCAACCTTTAAGTACAATGCAATTTTCTCTCTAGGTAGAATATATATATTTTTTATAATTGTGTCTGTAAGTGTATTTTAATTTCCATTTTTAAAATTACCGTTTGTCATAATTTTAGTTGTACTGTACATGATTTCTCAAGTTTTCTCGTCCATATCATGAGAAATGAGACATCAGGGTTCATTTTTCATAAAACTACACATTGTCTAATTGTATTTCTTAATCTAAGCTGATGGGAATGCTTTTATTTGTATCTAAGTAAATAAATTTTAAATTTGTATATCTTCAGTGTGGCTTCCTTATGGACATCTGTGTGACAATTATGAATATCTGGGATTCTGTGGAAGTGATTTGTAAATGTGCATAATTTGCGCTTTACAAAATATAATTATTCGGACATGTATGTATGGAATAGAGAAACCACATTGGCAGTAATATGGGGGAATAGTGTGGCAGCCCAAACCCTTGGACTTTACAGAAATTGATTTCATGAAAACGAGCAAGCAGAATTGTTGAAATTCTAAAAATCAAGGAAAAACATTTCACTGCAGTAATCAGGGAATATTTTAGACCCTAGTAATCAAATTGAGTGGACTAAAAAAAAATTGAGACATTAGGGATCCCACTACATGTATAAGCAGTAGACCATTGACAATGTTGTCCCAGGGCCGGTAGCTGGTGGAGTGTTTGAATGGGAGTAGTAGGTCGAGGCTTGAATTCCACCCAAGTCAACTTTTTTCCACTGATGTATAATGGTCAGTTCCCCCTTAGGGATTATCAAATTTTCCATTCATTCATGTCATTGCTATTCACATAATGCTCTCCCTGCCACATGTTCAGTTGTTGATTTGTTCTCGTACTTTAATCTGCAATCTTACTAATATATGTAACACGGATGTTAAAACTCTTCTTTAAATATAACGGAAATAAACAATACTGTACAGATCAGTCAGCAAAACCAGCATATTAAATTTCGAACCATTTACTTTTTTGCAAATTTAAAACAATTTATGCATGATTTATTAAAGCTGTAAAACAGAAGAGTAAAACTCTACAAATTCGTGAGAAAGTACTTGCCATCTCCCCAAAAGATATTAAGATTTGATCTTCAACAGGTGGATGGGGATTTAAATCACCATTTGGTTTATACCAATCCTAATAGGCTTGCACGAAGTGCACATCACCCTTTCCAGGGCACTCTCCGATCCAGGAATGATGATGCCAGCAGTGGCTTTTCTCTATTTCAAAGTTAAGGTTGGAATGTGTCCTCTTTTTGCCACTAATGATGATGGGAATAGTTTTCACATAATAGTGACATATCATGTCGTGTTGAATGCCTGAGTGGGTGGTGTTGGTAACCCATAGATAAATTTTATAATATAAAACTAGAGGTCAAACCAGTTAAAATGCAACAAATCATAGTCTTGTCAGTATCATG